AATACCATTAATGGTTGGTTGTTGGTGTGATGAATATATGTCTGATAGTTTTTCCAGTTGGTTGGTATTTGTAGTTCCTCTTTTATAGTATGGAGATGGAATGCCTTGGAAAAGAGTTTTTTCATTTATACTTTCTTTTACTTTTGCAATTTTTGTACAAGACTACAAAAGTAAAAGATAGCACATTTCTCAGGGAAGATATTTACTCAGTACATAGTAGAGACAGGATATAAGAGATAACATTAACTCAAAAAGATTTATACAAGATTATATTCTTTAATAATTGTTGTTTACATGTGTAAAATTTTTAGAAAAGACAACTTTTAGACTTGAACTCAAATATTTGTTGAATTTAATATCATGTTCAACCATCTCGTATAAAAATTACACGAGAGTAGTTAAGAATTTTGTGTTCATTTTTCTTGTATGTGTACGAATTTTGGTGAAAAGTTATTTTGAAGTGACGTGTTATTCAAGTTTAATGAAATAAAAAATGATGAACAATCTTTATTTTCCCTTCTATTGAATGAAAGCAAAAAGATTGTAAACAGAATAAATAAATTATTTTTTTTTTTTTAGCCACATATGCATAAATAAAATAATCCAACCATCTTCAAGAAAAAAATAAAATAAAATAATGCTATACCTCTATTCAATGGCCATTATTTTGAAAAAATGATGTTCTGAATATTGATTTTTAGAGAATGTGTGATTAAAACGTATGAAAAAATTTGGGTATGTGCAAAATATTTTATTATATAAATGTATAGTTGAAAACGAGTATGAAAATTGAAGAATTTTATTTTAAATGGAGACCAACGACGTCTATATATCACTATAGGAATACTTAGCACTAATCTAGGTTTCACTATTCAAAGCATTAAAATGTATGCAAACCAATGGTAAGCACTTTTAGTGCTACATTGCATTTCATTTATAATAATAATAATAACTCCAAATAGAGATTGTTCCCAACTAGATCATGCTGACGTCACAGTGCCGTCATGGTTGCCCCAAAAAACAAAGCCAATCATGATTAACAAGTCTAAAATTTATAACTTTATCCAAGTCAAAAGACATTATTCTCTTACTTACTATGATGATTTTAGTTTTAATATTCAACAAGTTATCAAGGTCAATACCAAACATAGAGCTAAATCCTTTCTAGCATTGCTCCGTGTTTGGCTAAACCTACTTTTAAGTAATTTTTCTCTAAAAATGTTCCTTTCTAAAAAAAAAAAACTTATTTGGTGAATTACTTATTTTCAACGGACTAATAATAAAATTTATACAATATTGTAATTTACTTATTTTCTTATAAAGTGAACTTTTAAGCTTAGCCAAACAGTCTAATTTTCCCACTAATCATCCACATGTTACAGTCAAGAACTGATAAAACTAGTAACCTACTTTGTACATTAGATACGTGCTTCAATTTAGATCTCAAATATTTTTAAAAAGATATTATTTAAAAATGAAATATAATTATCAACTACCAAGACCCCATGTTTAGTAGACAATGGTGGGACAACACAACACTAAAATTAGGGGTGTCCAAAAGTCTCGAATCGAACAGGATCGAACTGAACCTGAACCGAGCGGTTCTTCATAAATTAAATACCCGAACGGATACCCGAATCGAGAACCGATGGGTTTGGGTCGGGTCTCGGGTCTAGACCAAGAACCGAAGAATCGAATAAGAACCGAAACTAAATAATTTTTTTATTTTTTATATTGAATTAATATTGTACTTGTAGCATGGTTGTAAAATGTATGCAAACCAATGGTAAGCACTTTTAGTGCTACATTGCATTTCATTTATAATAATAATAATAACTCCAAATAGAGAATGTTCCCAACTAGATCATGCTGACGTCACAGTGGCGTCATGGTTGCCCCAAAAGACAAAGCCAAACATGATTAACGAGTCTAAAATTTATAACTTTATCCAAGTCAAAAGACATTATTCTCTTACTTACTATGATTATTTTAGTTTTAATATTCAACAAGTTATCAAGGTCAATACCAAACATAGAGCTAAATCCTTTCTAGCATTGCTCCGTGTTTGGCTAAACCTACTTTTAAGTAATTTTTCTCTAAAAATGTTCCTTTCTAAAAAAAAAAAACTTATTTGGTGAATTACTTATTTTCAACGGACTAATAATAAAATTTATACAATATTGTAATTTACTTATTTTCTTATAAAGTGAACTTTTAAGCTTAGCCAAACAGTCTAATTTTCCCACTAATCATCCACATGTTACAGTCAAGAACTGATAAAACTAGTAACCTACTTTGTTCATTAGATACGTGCTTCAATTTAGATCTCAAATATTTTTAAAAAGATATTAATTAAAAATGAAATATAATTATCAACTACCAAGACCCCATGTTTAGTAGACAATGGTGGGACAACACAACACTAAAATTATCGAATTATTACATTTCCAAATTAACTGTCTGTATCTTGTAAAATATATACAAAGTCACAAAGCATAACTTAAAGAACCGTGCTACTTGTACAACCTCGGTTGAGAACCACTCACACATGGGGTGAGGGTGGGTGGGTAATTTTTTAATTTTTGTAAGAATTAGTCTAACTATACACAATCCATTACATAATGGATTACACCCCCCTCACATGGAGGGGGGCCCACACACAATAAAATATTCGTGGACCCCTCTCCATGTGAGAGGAGAGTAAAGCTGTGTGTACACCATGAGCCGTACACATAGCATTTTTCTTCATTTAAT